AAAAATTCGAATATATTTTAAAACCACATATAATTAGAATATTATCCAGTTTATAAAAGTAAAAAAAAAAAACAACTTAGTTGTGGTTTAAAGTTTATAAACAACTACCAAGAAATATATTAAAAATTAATAAAATAATAAATAAATATAAATTTATATGTTAAAAATAAATAAATAATAAGTTATTATTCGATTTTTAGACTATACGGTTCTTATTTTATAAACAAAAACCAATCCGAAATCCAAATTAATAATTCGGTTTTGTAGAAAATCAATCTAAAAATCTGAATATCCAAACCAAATAGTCCAATCCAAATTATGCAAATGGATTATCCGGGTTTATCCAAATATTGAACATCCCTACCTACAATGTAGTGAGAAGTGATTTCAAGGACGAGACCTAATTTCACCGGGGGAGAATTCTAACAATCATGATCCAGATTAGTTAAGCTTGTTTGTATCAAGAACCGAATATGGAGTTTTAGAGGAAACTCGGTGTCACGACGTGGCCAAGGAAGGGCACAACGTGGAAATAATAATTTTGATCGCATGATTTTTGGACTGCCATGAGGTGGCCAGGGAAGGCCACGATGTGGCAGCTATTCAGTCCTAAGCCCATTACTCTTTTAGGGTTTCCTTCATATTTAAACCCCTCTATGCCATTGTTAGGCTCCCTTATCAACCTCCATCGTCCTTAAGTTTCAGAAACCCTAACCCTTATTGCAAGTGTAAGCTCATTTTATGTGTATTTAGTTACTTTTGAAGGAATAAGAAGCATTAGGAAGGATTGTGGTGCATCTTCTCCAGCTTGAAGATCTCTTTTCGGTATCTATGGACCTTTGTAAGTGTCCAAGTTCCTAGCTTTATGGATTTCGGTGGTCAGATCTTGAATAGTATGACATGTTCTCTATGTTTGATTATGTTTGGAGGGAGGGAACTCATAATGTTGGCAACTTTATGACTCTCCTGAGTCCCAAGAGCATCTTATGTTGTGGATGTAGTCTTTGGTAGAAGTTGTTGTCATCACTTAAGTTTTTGGTCTTTAGATCTCATTTCAACCTAAAATGGATCTTAGAAATATATTGGACAAACATGTCCATAAATCTTCCACCTTTATGATAGATCTGGTGTTATAAACCCTTCTGGAGTGGTTGGATTAAGGACGTTTTCAGATTGAGGACTTAAGTTTAACACATTATGGATTTTGGTTTTATTTGAACCCAGGGATTGAGATTTTGATCTCCTTGTGTGTCTTAATGAATAAAATGGGAAACTTTATCCATTTTGACCATAGTATGGACTAGATCTGAGCTTTGGAACTCTTGGAATCGAAGAAATCAACTTAATCCATTAAGTTGCTGAAACCCAGTGCCCATGGCATAGCCATGGGTCGGCATGGTGTGGCGACTAGGAATTTCCTGTGTGTATGGCTGGGTGAAGGCCACAACGTGGCCAAGGACACGACGTGACAGTTGGCTAAAGTCAACTCCTGCCCATTAAATTTTAGCATTGACTTTTGGCTTGGGTTGAATTTTGGTCAATCTCTTTTATTAGAAGGTAGACTTAGGTTTTGCCTTCTGTGGAATATAGGTGTTTTTTAACATTGATCTTTTGGCAGTGAGAGTTGTTGGTTGTGATCGGTGTAGCGTTGTGTGAGGTTCTACCATTCTAGTTAGCATTGTAATTCAAGCGAGTCTCCTCACTATACTCGAGTGTCGAAGGCACCATTATCGGCCCACTAGTTTTGTAATATAAGAAGACTAGGGGTGGTCCCTAACACTTGTATAGAAGACGTGGAGGTGGTTCTCAACAAATTCTATGTAAGACCAAGAATTGGACCCTGGTAGTTCTATATAGTAGGCTAGTTATCTTTTTGTTACTTTCATGATGACCAGGAGGTGGCTCCTGGCACTTGTCAGTAAGACCCAGGGTTTTGGACCCTAGCTTGGAAAGGAAAGACCATGATATAAATCATGGCATAATGGAAAGATTATGGTTCTCACATAGAAATCTCTATTTTATGTATGGTATGTGGTATTTTGCAGAACTCACTAAGTTTTGTGCTTAGCGTTTTATGTTTATGGTTTACATTACTTCCCGTAAGAAAAAGAAAGGGTATGGTCTGACTACACAACATCCCACAAAGTTTTTCGCATTGAAAATTTATGATCTTTACTCCAATTTTTAAATTATATATTCACTTTGTTTGGTTTTGGAACAGTTTGTTTGTGTGGTTTCTTGATTTAAAAATGAAAATTTTACTATGAATTTTTCAGACGTTACCAACTAAAGCATAAGGATCAAAATAGTCAATTCTAGGTTTTGGTCTAACACCTTGAATAAGCAATCGTGCCTTAAACTTGTCAATTGATCCATTAACTTTCATCTTCCTTTTGAATATCCAATTTTAACCCAAAGATTTGCATCTAGTAAGAAGATCAGACAGCACCGTAGTATTATTCCCCATGGTGGAATCCATCTCACCATTTATTGCTTCTTTCTAGAAATCAACATCTTAATATTTCATTGCTTCATCAAAAGTTTTAGGATCTTCTTCAACACTAAAATAATATGAATATTGATTTGCAATTTCATCTCTAGAGCCATCAACTAAGTAAATAAAAAAATCATTTCCAATTGATTTAGCTTTACCTTGCTTTTTGCTTCCTTTAAGCTCATGTGATTCATTTGAATCAGGTACAACTTCCTTGGTAGTTCCACTAGACCTAAAAATCAAGTCTTGTGGTCTAGGTATGGACAAAAATTGATTTTTATTTTCATCAAGTATTGCATATCTAGACTCTATAACTGTAACATCCAAAAATTCGAGGCCAAAAATTTCATTTTTCATTAGGTGATTTATAAAATGGTTCATCAAAACAATGCCAAAATCATGCCAATACATAAAACCATAATATCATGTTTCAAAACCAAATCCTCTGAAATAACAAAATATCAAAGTAAAATCCCAGAAACTCTAAGCGGAAATCATAAGTGTGCGCGCGTGATGCGCTGCTACACCGCCGACTCCTTCCCTTTTGACGAAGAGGTACTTGAAACCAAAACTAAAACTGTAAGCACGAAGCTTAGTGATTTCCCCCATCATACCACATACCATACAATCACATAGCATACATATTATCGGGCAATTCTGGAGTGCCCGTCCTACCCATGTCAAGTCATTCTGGGGTGCTGACCTACCCATGTCAAGCCATTATAGGGTGCTGACCTACCCATGTCAAGCCAGTCTGGGGTACTGACCGACCCATGTTGAGCTATTATGGGTTGCTGACGTACCCTCCAGTCTATCTCAACCGAACACGAGGACTATTTCACCCCTACTACTAACACATAACATCATATCATAATCATGATGTCAGACATATCTGGGGTGTCCGACCTACCACTACAAGAAAAAGACCCTTTTACGACGCACAAACAACGACACTCATTGATTTATGTTATGTAAAAGAGAGTGACATTCAAAAAGTGTCATCTCTTCAAAATATTTAATGATTTAGGTCACGCATTATTTCGTGCCCTTAAATTAGTGTCATAAGAAAAAAAAATTAAAAACACGAAGTGAACCGTGTGTTAAATGTGCATCCTCTATAAGTGTCGCTTTATAATTTTAATGAAACGTGCGTTCAGTAGATAGTGTTTAGTACACAGGGGGGAAAACGAAATCCCAAAAAATTTGAAAACCCGCTTTTCTAACGTCTTTCTATCTTTCATATTAGCAATCAATTCTCCCCCCTCCCTTATTCTCCCTCTTCTTCGATCTGTTTCTCCCCTCTCCACTACACCATGATGAATGAGATCTCTTCGTCAATCAGAGCTACCAGCCTACAAAGACCCTTATTTTCACCCTCCCTTCTCTCTATACACCCCAGAAACCGCGACCACCGTCAATATATCTAGAAGCATCTTCCGTGTTTGCGTTTGAAGGAAGCATCGACTTGTGGTGGCGTCTCGGGTGGAAATAAAAGGTGAAATTGAAAACTCCCTCCAGGTGAGTGCGAGAGAGAGAGAGACAGAGAGAGAGAGAGAGAGAGAGAGAGAGAGAATAAAAAAAATAGGAATCGAAGTCAGGGAGTCCTTCGGTGTCAAACATCACGAGGTGAGAAGGTAGAGAAGATGTTAATCCAGCTACCACGCCAACCAGTACCTCCAACTATGTACGACGGTGGTTCTCACTGGTGGCTCAGCTGGAGGTAATGAGAGCGACGCAGAAGGATGACTCTAACTGGATAATATTTATCGAACTTTCAAGAATTGGTTAACGAATCTATTTCTCACTCCTGGAGATTAACCAATTTCAATTTTTAGATTCACCAATTGCATCTTGTTTGTTTTAGATCAACAATGAGTTTGAACCTAACTGCGTAAGTTCACAAAAATTGACTTTGTAAGTCAAATATCAAACTAATTGTTATCTATCAAGGATCAAGATGGTCTTATACCAAATATCCCAGATGTTCCTATATTGGATATCACAGAAGACATGGTGGTTTGAGAAGAATTTATAGATAACAAAGTCCCACGATACAAAAGAATTTATAGACAACAAAGTCCCACGATACAAAAGAAACAATTTAGTGGAATGATTAAACATTGTTAATAGTAATTAAGAGAGGCATGGGATATAAAGAACTAGTGAAATTAATTATAGGACACGACACCCTCTGTCTACTGCATTCAGTGAAGGTACACGTGTCATCCCTCAAGTTCTGCTAGAATTTTGGTACATGTGTAGAGTAGAGGGTAATGAAGGGGACATTATGAATGATGGGGAAAACATAGTTAGAATTACTCTCAATTATCTCAGAAAAATTCTTAGGCTATCTATCCTACCAAAATATGATCTAGATGTCTCAAAATCTTAAGCAAGGTCAGTCCTGCTTGAGACAGCAGGAATTTCAAGTTTGAAATCAGTCCAAGAATCACTCCAGAAAGTACAAGATCACATTCTAAGTTAGGCAAGTCAAAGGATGATGATAATGACAAAAGGGGGGAGCACAAAAAGAAGAGAATCAGATGATGATCCTGAAGAAGGAGAAACTTGTTATAAAATGTACAAGAGAAGAAAGAGGAAGATTGTATATGATGCAGCAAACTTACAACTTGTTCAGATTCAACCACCAGATCCTACAAAAGAATCCATTTCACTTGAAACACCCCAAATCGGTAAGAATCTGGTCCTACAACATTCTATGACAGATGATCTTCTTGAGATGTGGGTCTCTTCCCCAAAACCAGATGATGGATCTTCTCCCCCAACATGGATTAGATGTACTAAGCAGTGGATTTTAATAAATTGTTTCTTTAATTGCTTTAACATATGCAGTAGTGAATCAAGATATCGAAAATAAAGCTATCAAGAATAAATATCCTTGGTAATTACTCTTTTTTTGTTATGACTTATGAAAATCAAGACTGAATTAAAAAGGATGATATCCTAATAACATGAATGATTTTCATTTGTGGTTTTCTCCAGGATCCCCTTAAATGTCACCAGTGTGAGAGAGAATTGATAGAACTATTGTTCATTTCACTAAGTGTAAAATAACGTTCTATTGTACCCTGTGCCTCAAGCAATGGTAAATATTAAGTCTATTCTACCCATGTGTCACCATCAAAAATGTTTGTTTGTTACACAAATTCACGTCACTAACCTAAACTAGTTTTTGAATATTCAAGTATCCTCACTTTTTGGAAGAAAAAAAATATTAAAAGCTTGCCTATTTTGTTGTGGAAACTGAAATTGCAACTTGTGTTTACACAAAAACATTGAGGTTTATAATGAGACCTACAGATAAGAAAATGCATTATAACATGATGTGCTAATGCTAAATTTTCGTACTTTTATAACACAGATGCCAGACATAGACTGGAAGGGTGATGTGAAGTTGCAGCATCTTCACTATCTCATCAACTTACTACTTCCGTTTGTAAAAGAAATTCGTGAAGAACAAGAGGTGGAGATAGTCGTGGAAGCGGGTGCTTGTGAAGGTAATAAACTTACCGCTTCCATTAAAAAAATGATTTCAACTGAGTTATGTTTTGTTTTAATGTCATTCTTATTAATCAAGTTAATGTTCTTCTTCCTGTCTAGAGATACCAAACTCTTCAGTGGAAATAGAGCACTACCTCGGGAGTGAAAGAGATGGTGAATCGTGAGTCTGTCTTAGGTGCTATAATATCTGCCCAACAGAGGCTCAAGCTCTACAACAAGGTACCTCCAAAATTTTCTTAGATAAATTTGGCTCTTATGTTATGAATACATGTTTTTGTAGTTACACTTCTCAACAGAGGCTCAAGCTCTACCATATGATATGTATGATGTTTGTTTTGCCTATTTTTCCATATATTTATTCATGTAGCTGATTTCGACATTTTGTAATTGGAAGAGTTCCATTCTCTTTGTTTTCATATCACTTTTTATCTCAATGAAGATTTGAATGCAATATGTTGGGCCTTCCTTATGCATCTCACTGATCCAAAAGATTAATTAGAAACTTCACAAATCTTCCATGCTTTGCATCACATTAACTTCAGTCTTGCTCATCGATATCTAATATAGACCATTGAGTTTATTAGTTTCTTGAAGATTATAGAACAAATGGCTTTTCATAATAACTTATTTGCCTTCTAAAACTTCTTATCCACTTATATGCCCCTGTTTAACTACAAAACAATTCATTTGTACTACAAGTTTATATATGTATGAATACATTTTTATGTCTCAAAAAACATTTTGGGAAAAGTAGAAGTATATATTACTTGCCCTGTTTTTCTATACTTGATCCACCTTTATTTGTGGACTTACTTTGTATGTACTCTAAGGTCTCTTTCTTCCAAGCTTGTTCTTGATACCCTGTTCTTACTAGACATGTAAGTTTCAAATATTTGATGTTATTGTAGATACCCAACATGACTTGTCTGATTGGTCAATCCATGAGAAGGTTATTGCGACTCTTTCAAATGATACATCGGGTCATCAGAATGAAAGAACTTATGTTAGCCCCACAAGTAATAAATGGTTAACAGAAGGTTATTGCAGCACTTTCAGATGATCAGAACCCTCATGCACAGGTTGGTTGCATCTTCTTTCTTTCTATTATAAATAAAACGAGTTTTTCTTTTCTTGAAAGTTGAAATAAAAAAAGGGTTACACTTTAACATGAAAAAAATTGGAAGTAGAATGCTATGGTGTGATAGAAAGAATAAATGAAAGTATATTGGTATTATTTGAAATTTCTCATAGGCATCTTGGATGAATATGAGGTATAGTTGCATTGCATGTTTTCCGGTAGATCTATCTTATCTGATCTTGCTAATGCTAAGTTACTAACTAATAAATTTCTCATAGGCATCTTGGATGAATATGAGGTATGGTTGCATGATTCAAATTTATAGGTCTTTTTGATGTGCATAGTGTCAAGCAAAGTAGCTCGGATTTTGTGAAGGTGGTAACCAAATTCTTTTGGTTCTACTCTTATTTGTTGATGATTTTCATCTCCTTCACACTTGATATTACATTTGTTACTATTGAAACGATTATTTGTATGACATTAAATTATATGTAATGGATTGTATTTTTATATATGATATTTTATTTTGTATTATGAGACATTAAAAGTTAATTTTATTTGAAAATTAGTAAATCTATAAAAATATATGTATTTTTAAACATTTAAGATTATGACATGCAAAAATGTGTCGTCTTCCATTATGACAGGGGATTTAATGATACGCATTGTGTGTCGTAAACGTCCATCGTAAGGTTACGATACGCAAATGTGTGTCGTCTTCCTTTATGAAAAGGTCTTCCTTGATACGCATTGCATGTCGTAAACGAGTATCGTAAATGCATTTCGTAACGGCACGTCGTAAATGTGCGTCGTCTCTAGACAACGCACAAAAGCGTGTCGGCTCTAGTTATGACAGGGCCTTCATTGACACGCTTTTGCGCATCATCTAAGCGTTTTACGACACGAATTACGTGTCGTAAAAGGTTGTTTTTCTAGTAGTGTACCCATTGGTCCTAACGACCGAATCAGGGACTAGTCCCCTTCTACTGATACTATCTCATATAACATGGCAATTAGAAAACTAGCATACTCACGTATCTAGCAGTCTAGCATACTCACATATCCACCAATCAGACTAGACATTTATCACAAAGACAACTATCCCAACTAACAATACTAGGGGTGAGCCTTGGTGACTGGAAGGTAACTTATCTCGATGTCGTGTAGTATCTAAACTATCTTCGGCGTGAAGGTCGGCTCTCCTCGAATCCTCAATTCGTACACGACAACCCTCAAGTCAACAAATAGAACATACATCCCTATCCAGGGTCAATACCACAACCAGGCACAGTTAACATTGGGCGAAGTCAACACCAAGGTGACCTGACTCGTCGAGTTGGTCAACCAACTCGTCAAGTCCTTTTCCACTAACACGATCCAACCCTGACTCCACTCTTCAAGTCTAACAAGAACTCATCGAGTTCTCCTTTATTCAAACCATCGGAACCATCTTCATCCGAGTCGCTGAGTTCTTCCTTGAACTCGGCAATCTCACCTCCCCCATAAGAACGTGTCCAGTCTATGACTCGCCGAGTTGTATAAACAATTCGTCGAGTCCATCTTCAAAGATTGGGAGATTGCCTTGGACTAGCCAAGTTTGTTCATACACTCGTCGAGTCCCATGATTCCAAGGTCCCTTTTCATGTCTAAACATCTATGGGACTTTCCTCCCTATAAAATTTTCCAATCACAGAATGGATTTGGTGGTGATTACACTGTGACTTGCCGAGTTCCAAGAACAACTCGGTGAGTCCATCCTTGACCAAAACTATACAGTCGATTTAGATGAGCCTTAACACCTCAAAACCATAGATATAGCCCCCTAATTTCCATTTCATACGTAATGCTCCACACTTGGTGCACATGTATGGGGGCTTTAGCTCAAAAAGACATAAAAGTTGTTCTACAATATGCATGGGGATCTCATGGCCATAAAGTTGTCACCTTTATGCCATGAGACCCTTCTAATGACTCAAACCTAAAGTCAAGACCCCAAATAACACTCCACAAATCCGAATATGGCTTGGAAAGCCCTAACTGTGACCAAAACCCAAGTCTAAAGATGAATAAACACATATGAGACCAAAACAGGGGCATTTTACCTTGATTATGCTGAAAATGTAACTAGATATTTGAATCTGTAAGCCCCAACTCGAATTCTCAAGCTTCTTTCTTCCTCTTCAAGCTTCACAAACCACCAAATGAACCAAAATGGCCTTAGAACACTCAAAAATGGCTAGGGTTATGATATACAGCTTTCTAGGAGTGATAAGGGCAATGGAGGTTGAGATAAGGTGTTTAAATAAGGTTCAAACCCTCAGATTTAGGGTTTCACTCAACCAACACCTACTCGCCGAGTAAGTCCCCCGACTCGTTAAGTAGGTTACTTAAACTATCTGTGGGTCACGACTCTACTCGACGAGTTAGGCCTCCAACTCGTCGAGTCCCAGAGAAAAACACAAATACATGAATAATAGGCATACCAGGAATCAGGTGTTACAAATCTCCCCCACTTATCTTAGACTTCATCCTCAATGTCTGTTGCTCGATCCTGAAAAAGCTCAGGTTAATTCTCCCTTATCTTATCCTTCGGCTCCCAAGTCCATTCCGAGCCCTTGTAGTGCTGCCACTGCACCTGTACCAGCTCCACCCTCTTGTTTCTCAGATACGTTGAATTTCTGTCAAGGATTGCCACTGGCCGCTCGATGTAGTTCAGGCTGCCATCAACCTAAATATCCTCTAGAGGCACCACTGCCGAATCGTCCACCAAACATTTCCGCAACTGGGAGACGTGAAGAGTGTTATGAATCTGACTGAGTTCGATTGGCATATCCATCCTATATGCTACCTTGCCCACCTGGATCGTAACCCTGAAGGGTCTAATATACTTGGGGCACAACTTTCCCTGCTCCCTGCACCGAATGACGCCCTTCCACGTCGACACATTCAGGAGCACCATATCCCCTACCTGAAACTCCAGATCTGACCGCCGCTTTTCAGCATAACTTTTCTGCCAACTCTGAGCATTCTGAAGCCTGCTCCGAACCTACTGGATCTTCTTCACAATTTGTAGTACCACTCAATACTTCCCATGACTCTCTGCCCAACCTCTCCCCAGCATATTGGGGTCCTGCACTTCCTCCCATACAACATCTCGAAGGGAGGGCGATCGATACTTGCATAATAGCTATTGTTATAGGAGAACTCAGCCAATGGAAGGTAAGTATCCCAACTACCTCCGAAGTCTAAAACACACGCCCACATCATATACTCCAGAGTCTGGATGGTCCGCTCGCTCTGACCATCCGTTTGTGTGTGAAAGGCGGTGCTAAAATGCAGTCAAGTACCCAGCTCGTCATGAAACTTCTTCCAAAACCTGGAAGTGAATCACACGTCCCTGTCTGAGATCATTGAAACTGGCACCCCGTGCCGTGACACTACCTCCCGGATGTAGATGTCAGCCTATGTTTCGGCCAAAATACTCTCCTCGATCGAAATAATAAGGGCGCTCTTGGTTAATCGATCAAAGATGACCCAAATCTAATCCACCCCTCGTGCGGTCCTAGGAAGCTTCATAATGAAGTCCATAGTAATATCCTTCTACTTCCACAGTGGGATATCCAATGGTTGGACCTTTCTGTGAGGTCTATGGTTCTCAGCCTTGACCTTCCTGCAGGTCATCAACCTTTCCACAAACCAAGGTATGTACCTCTTCATACAGGGCAACCAATAATCGAGACAAAGATCCCTGTACATCTTCGTCGCCCCGGGGATGGATAGAGAACCTGGATTTGTGTGCCTCTACCATCAATACTTGGCTCACACCCCCCATGATAAGGGACCACACCCTACGGTGAAGAGTCAACAATCCCCGACTATCATAGTCGACGGAGGAAACCTGACCTAGAATTCGCTCACTCTTCCGATGTTCCTCCTTCATGGCCTCCTGCTGGACCTCACGAATTTGCTCTAACAACGGAGTCACAACTGCCATTCTTGGACAGATGTCCCTGATGGGTACTACCTTACGGCTAACCGCATAGGCCACGACATTAGCCTACCCCGAGTGGTAGAGGATATCGCAAT